CCGGGCCGCCGCAGCGGAGCGCACGCACTTAACCGCTTGCGCCACCGGGCCGGCCCCTGAACATACATTTTTAAATGGTTAAAATGGTAAATTTTATGTATATTTTACCACAATAAAAAATAACTTAAAAATTGAGTTCTTAATGATATTTTCAGTTTGAATTTAATGTCATAGGGTTTTTACTATACTTGTGTGATTTTGTATTTGGTCCCTGATAATTACTTATTTACTTTACTTGTGATGTTTATTTTATAGTTTCAAAAAATAATACCAATATTAGAAGAAATCTGCTGAGTGAAGTCTAAAATTTCTTTGTAGTTCTTTTTGTCCACAGAATATAGCCTACGAAGGATATGCAGTGTATTGAGTTCTACAGGAACTTGAAATAATTCTTTCTCTGGTGGTTATGTTATCAATTTGATATGCAGGTAGGTCCATTTGATTTGTTTTCATTTGATTTCAACTTTAGGGTTTGGTTTTTCATTTAATTTTGTGTTTTGATAAGGTAAATATATATATGAGTCCTATGGTGATATGTTTGCTGTTGAGACTGCAATAGAATGTAGCCCTCTAATGCCACCAAGAATCTAATGAGAGAAATAAGCTGGGGTTTTATTCAGTAGCAGAGTGATCTCCATCCAAGGTCCGCTTGAAGCCCCAGTTGCTCTCTGACACTCCTGGGGCCTCCAGTAGGCTGAAACAGGCCAGGGACTATCTCAGCTGTAGATAACAACCTTCCCCTCACATTGCAGCTTAAGGATGACCTGTTGCTCTTCTTCAAAACTGTGCATGTTGCTCTTGAACCAATATTTATCATCCCAATAGTGGGACCAGCTCATGTACTGGTCTGTCCCAAAACCAAACAAGGATACCTGAGAGATGGGGTGAGACAAGAGAGGGCCATGGGGTGGGAGAGGCTGGATCCTGTCCTGCCTCCATGCCCACCTACCATTTCTTCAGCAAACACTCACTTAACATCTAGTGTGACAGGCTTCCTCTTGGACGTAGAAGGAGAACAGAGCTCACTTTATCCAGAGAAGACAAGACTCTGAACACATGGAGTGACCAGGAAGGCCAGAAAAAAGAGCATCAACTAGCTGTTCCTCATCGTATTGGAGGAAGAGAGAGGATTCCCCAGGGAGACAAGAGAAGGGCATTCCAGGCAAAGGGAGCAGTGTGTGATAAGCCTGAGGCAGCTGGTATGTTTGGGGTATGCCAAGAAGCCCAGTGTATGAGTCTGGGAGAGAAGAGGGGCGGGGAGGGGTCAAATCATGCAACATCTTGAAACCCGGGCAGAAAACTTAAGACTTAACCTGAAGTCCCTGGGAAAACAGACATTTTTAGTGGCAGAGGGATGAAGGTCTGTGAGTTGCAGGAGATGTCTTACCTGATCACAGGTGTGTAAGGCATACAACAGAGCCACGAACCCCAAGGATGGAAACTGACCGTATTTTCTCAGCCAACGATCCTGGACATACTGGAGGAAGGTGAGGCTGATCACCAAGACCTAGGAAAAACAGAGGAGAGTGCTGACCTGAGATCTGTCCCTCATCCTACTTCCTCCCGTTTTCCTTCCTCGGTCCCTCACCTTGTCCTTGCTCTCTTCACTTCCACTGGGGAACTGGACTATCCGAAATCTAAAAAGGGATTAGGAATGAGGGAGTTTCAGAGTCACTTGACACAGCAGCCCCCAAGCTTAGGTTAGCCCTGGTGGTACCCCAGTATCCAGCTACGGTCTCTCTGAGTCCCCACTGTCATCCCTTACAATGGCCCCCCTCACCACCAGACCCAGGGTTTCTTGGCTTCCAGATGATGTCCTGTTCCTGCAGTATTTTCATGAACCACTTCAGACCAGATGAATTCAAAGGAAGCAGCAGCAGTTGGGTGCCAGGATCCTGAGTGCTGGCTATCTCCGGGTACATAATGCGCATGGTGGTCGTGTTCCCCACGTCCATCTCAAAGCCTTGGACAGGGGCCTGGTTCATCCTGGAAAGGAGAGCAGGGTGAACATTTTGGGGAGGATTTGGCCTAACCTTCCTGGTCTCCACCTTCTATCCTGCACCCACCTGAGGACCATGTCATGTTGGTTAATCCTGAAGCCAAGGCCAGAGCCCCTTAGGAACCTTGAGTTTCCAACCACTGCACAGGTCCGGCAGCTGGACCCCACATAGCCCAGTGGGTGTTTGGGAGACACTTTAATCGGCTGCTGCTTCTGATTCTCAAACTCCTTCTCCGACTTGATGCCCTGAAGTTCATAGGAGCACATGAGGGAGGAATTTAGGGGCTTATCGCAGACTCCCACTACCTATGGAGGAAGGTTAGAGCCTGGGGCCATGAGGGAATAGATGGCTGGGGCCTGGAGTTGGGAGAAGGGAATGAACAGACACCAAGATTGTGCACTGACCAACCACAACATCAGAGCATCAGAGGACATGGGCTCTTCTGACCTCTGCAGGGGCTCAATGGCCCTTTCGAAGCGTTCATCAAACCAGTCAGACTCTCCAGGTATGTGGAGGCAGGCGGAGCATTCATGGATCCTAGATGAACAGATACACTTTCTAGAAGAGTTTCTGGGGCAGTGGCAGATCCTTGAGCGTGTGCTGGCCTTCTCATGGAGGTCATTCTGGCTGGACTCCTGGTCCAGGAAGGAGGCCATCAGCCACAGTGTAAGCATACAGGTAGCTACCAGACCCAGCTTCAAGTGTCGAACCCTCATCTCTGGCCCCGACGATGGTGCCCCAGCAAACAGTAGATTGTCTCTGACACCTGATACTGAGAAGGAGGAGGGGCTGGGGCCAACAGACACCCCCAGCATCCCTGTCCTGGTGGCTTCCATTCCTCCCCCAACCCTCCACACCACCTCCTCCCAACACCTCACCTCTTACGTCCCCAGCCACCTGCTAACCACTAAAAGGAACTCTGCCAGGTCCTCGGCTGGAGGCTTAAAGTACAGGAGAGATGACACTTGTGTCCTGTGGTCTCCCAGAGGAGATTGATGCCCAATGAGGCCTTTCAGGCCAGCTCAGTGATATCAGGGACCTCATCACAGAGACCACATTGTGACCTCCTCTGCGTAGGCTTATTGGCAAGGCCCTTCAGCCTGGAGCCCAGCTGACAAGGGAGGCCTGGAAGTCAAGCATCAAGGGGACAGCAGGGCGAGGACGGAGCAGCTATGTTCCGGGAGTCTGGTGTAGATGAGCAGGAGACAGAGAGGGGAAGGCCACTCGGAACCTCTTGGGTCAGAGAGAATTTATCATATTGACGAAAGTGAATATTTGGTATACTCAACCCTTAAAACCTCTCAAGGGTTGAATTTCTTTTCTTTTTGAGAATTGTTACCAAGGTAAATACATGCGAATTGTTTTTTCAAAAAAAATTCACATAGTTCAGGAAGGCTTTTAACGTGGAACAGCAGTCTCCTGCCCTCCCCCCACCTCCTTACCCTGAGTCCTCTCCTCAGAGGCCTCCCATTCTAACTAGTCTTCTGGCATTTGCTTCCATTTCTCTAAATATTATCCTTATACCGCTATATCATGATGTTATATATAGATTACCTACTATATATGATCATATCATTATGTTTAGTAACGACCACTGATCTCTTTGTGACTGTGCATAATGGACCCTAACCTCTATTTCTCATTCTGTCACTTCAAGACAAGGTTTCTTGAAACCCTTTTCTCTAAGATGAGAATATTGTGCCTGTACACTTCCGTGTGTCAATTATTTTCCCTTTACACTTCCCAACATTGGTATTTTGAACTTTTACATCATCAAGGATAATATTTATATTCTGTTGTGTAAGCATTCTGTTGTGTCATTAGGTGTCACATGCTTCCTTTATAGCAGCGCTATCCAACAGAAATATGTGAGCCACATATATAATTTTTTAGTAACCAAAGTTAAAAAAAAGTAAAAAGAAACAGAGGACATTAATTTTAATAATATATTTAACCCAGTATGTCTAAATATTACCATTTCAACATGTACACAATGTAAAAATATTATTGAGATGTTTTGCATTCTTCTTCTTCTTCTTTTTTTTTTTTTGTGAGGAGCTAACATCCGATGCCAATCCTCTTTTTTGCTGAGGAAGATCGGCCCTGGGCTAACATCCGTGCCCATCTTCCTCTACTTTATATGGGACGCCACCACAGCAGGGCTCAACAGGTGGTGCGTCGGTGTGCGCCCGGGATCCGAACCTGCAAACCCCGGGCCACCGGAGCAGAGCACGTGCACTTAACCGCTGCGCCACCAGGCAGGCCCCTGCATTCTTCTTTTTTGAAACTAAGTCTTCTAAATCCAAATTGTATTTTATACTCACAGTATATCTAAATTTGGACACTCAGTTTTCATCAGAAATACATCATCTATAGATTTTATAAAATTTTACCATCTAAAAAGTAGAATTACATATCCAAGTTATATCAAGTATACTTAAAAGGTTTCCAATAACTGAATTGTGTTCGTTTTAAAATTTAGATTAATTAAAATTAAATTAAATTAAAATTTCAATCCCTCACTTGCACTAGCTACATTTCACGTGCTCATCTATCCTATTGGATGGCAGAGGACTATAGGCTGATTCTAAAAGTCAAAAATCTATTATCAGTGTTTATGTTATTGTGACTAGATAAATATTGTTTCCTATAGAGTCCGTTAGTGAACTAGGACTTCTTTGCTTTTGTTGTTCATTATAATTTCCTAAGGAAGGGTATATAGGAGATAAACTTTCTGAAACCTTGCGTATCTGGAAAAGTCATTTTTCTGTCTATAGTGGGTAAAATTGTGTCTCCTCAAAAATTGTTCAAGTCCTGACCCCTGGTACCTGTGAATGTGACCTTATTTGGAAATAGGGTCTTTGCATATATAATCAAGTTAAAATGAAGTTATATGAGGGACATTAAGATGGGCCCTAATCCAATGACTAGTGTCCTTATGAGGGAAAATTGAGAACAGAAGACACAGGGAGAGTGCCATATGAAGATGCAGGCAGAGATTGGAATTACGTGTCTACAAGCCAAAAAATGGCAAGACTTGCTAGCAACCACCAGAAGCTAGAAGAGAGGCTTGGAATAGATTCTCCTTCAGAACCTCCAGAAGGAACCAACCTGAATTTTGGGCTTCTTGCCTCTAGAACTGTGAGAGAATAAATTTCTGTTGTTTTAAGCTACCTAGTTAGTGGTCATTTGTTATGGCAGCCCTAGGAAATTAATACACTGCCCTTGAGTTTGATGGTATGGCTGGGTATAAGAGATTTTATGTTGAAAAAATAGCTCCAGAGATTCGACATGTTCCATCATCTTCTAGCCTTCAGTGCTGTTAACAAGAGTATGACTTTTGATCCTTGCTAACCATAGTAATTGGAATTCTTGGTCTCAGAGGCAGGAACAGACTCTGGCAAACTTAAGCAGAAAAACAACTCATTGGTTAAATATATAGCAGTTTACAGAATAGATGTGAAAGCTAGCTGAGGCTGTAACCAAAGGATGCAAGACACAGCCAAAGACTACCCCAGGAATGGCCAGCGTGAAATGTCACCACTGTTGCCACCACAACTGGACCCTGGACACTGTGGGACACTATGATAGTTTAAATATGGTCACAAATTTTTTTCAGCTCTTTCCATTAGGAAGAGGAGACCATTTCCCCACCTTTTGAATCTGGGGTCATTTTATGACTTGATCTGACCAATAGAATGCTTCAGAGGTGACACTGTGTGACTTTATAGCCTCGGCCTTAAGAGGCCTTGCAGCTTCCACTCTCACTCTCTTATAATGCTTCCATCATCACATGAAGAAGTCTGGGATAAAAGATTACATGGAGAAAGAGGCCTAGCTGCCTAGCAACTCCAGCCATCCCAGCTGAGGCCAAGACATGTAAGTGAGGCCATCTTAGACCATGCAGCCTCAACTAAGCCACCAGTTATCAGCAGCAGTATAAGTGAACTCAGGTAAGACCAACAGAAAAACTGCCCTGTCGGTCCATAGAATTGCAACAAATAATAATTGTTGTTTTAAGTCACTACATTTTAAGGGAGGTTTGTTGTGAAGATAATAATGGATACAGACATCCTGCCCAGTTCAGACTAGCCATAGAGAATAATCTTTAACTGATTCTGCACCTTTGCATCAGGACATCAAGTTTCAGAGTTCATTAAAGAACCATTGATTGAAGCCCTGTAGGTCACATGTCCATGTTCTAGCTTCCATGGGGTAGGAAGGAGAACTATTGGACCCATTTTGGGTCCCGCAGTGGGAGGCAGGACCCTGATTATACCTCTCTTGAGTTTGTCCCCAATAGAAAGAAATGTTTTTTTCTCTCTCTCTCATCACAATGTGTATTGGCCTGGCTATTTCTCTGTCTCTAATTGTTTTTCTCTCATCTTTTTATTGATAGTATTGTGACAACAAGAGTCTTTTTCTGCCATATATAGCTAGTTACAAATTGCTAGTATTTCTTTTCAACTAAATAGAAATTTATTCCTTGTTCATATAAATTCAAAATAGATAGGAATGGGGTAGTGCCTCTATTGTATGAAGTATTCAGGCACCTAATAAACTAATAATTGAATCTATCATTTTCAACACAAGGATCCCAAGATTTTCATGGGTATCAACATACAGCAGTGTTTTGGAGGAAGAGAAAGAGAATTGTATATGGGAGAATGTTTATACTAGGCATTGAAATAGTACACAAGATATCTGTACACATACATTGAACAGAAATAAATTACATTGCCATACCTAACTATAAGACAGTCTGGAAAATGTGGTCTGTTGTGTTTTCTCAGGAATAATATCCTTAACATGTTAACATTGCTTAACATCCAGCCAGTCTTGGCTGTATTACTATCTCTGCTTCCACGCTTGCCTTATTCTAAATCTATTCTCAGCATCAGTTCTTGTTCAAAGTAAGATCAACTTGCCAGCTGATTTCTGAGTGTTTCTCCAAGATGTATTTGTTTTAAACTTCCAATTGAGTTAGTTTCATCAAATAATAAAGCTTTTAACAGATGAGGATATTGTTACATTTTTCTGCAAAATTAAGTATTCTAATGGGTTGTTTTCTCAGTCTCTTAATATAATTAGTTTCCTGGTTTTCCCTGAAAAACATTAGGTACTTTAAAAAATCTTAACGCTTGTCTATCAGATTAAAACTACTTTGTGTATGAATACATTCTGCTTTTCTTTTTCTCAACGACATTTTTTTCAGTTTTATTGAGATAAAATTGTCATATAACACTGTATTGGTTTAATCATTATGTACAACATAATGATTTGATATTTGTCTATATTGTGAAATGATTACTGCAATAAATTTAGTTAACATCCATCAGCTCACATAGTTACAAATTTTTTTTCTTGTGATGAGAACTTTTAAGATCTGCTCTCTTAGCAACTTTCAAATATACAATACAGTGTTGTTAACTAGAGTCACCATACTGTCCATTACATCCCCAGGTCTTATTTATCTTATAACTGGAAGTTTGAGTTTTTTGATCACCTTCACTCATTTCCCCCACCACCTACGCCCCACCTCTGGCAACCACCAATCTGTTCTCTGTTTCTAAGAATTCAGTTTTTTTAGATTCCGCATGTAAGTGATATCATGAAGTATTTGTCTTTCTCTGTCTGACTTATTTCACTTAGCATAATGTCCTCAAGGTCCATCCATGTTGTCACAAATGGCAGGATTTCCTTCTTTCTTTTTTTTTTTTTTGTGAGGAAGATCGGGCCTGAGCTAACATCTGCCAATCCTCCTCTTTTTTTTGCTGAAGAATACCGGCCCTGGGCTAACATCCATGCCCATCTTCCTCTATTTTATATGGGACACTGCCACAGCATGGCTTGACAAGGGGTGCGTCCGTGCGCGCCTGGGATCCAAACCGGTGAACCCTGGGCCACCGCAGCAGAGCGCGTGCACTTAACAGCTTGCGCCACTGGGCCGGCCCCTCCTTCTTTCTTGTGGTTGAATAATATTCATATATATTATGGACATAATATATAAATCACATTTTCTTTATCCATTCATCCATCATGGACACTTAGTTGTTTCCATGTCTTGGCCATTGTAACTAATGCTGCAATGAACGCGCAAGCACAGATATCTCTTTAAGACAGTGATTTCATTTCCTTCAGATATGTACCCATAAGTGGAATTGCTGGATCATACGGTAGTTCTATTTTTAATTTTTTGAGGAACCTCCGTACTGTTTTCCATAATGATTGTACCAATTTACATTCCCACCAACAGTGCACAAGGGTTCCCTTTTCTCCACATCCTTGCCAACACTTGTTATCTCTTGTCTTCTTGATGACAGCCATTCTAACAGGTGTGAGGTGATATCTCATTGTGGTTTTGATTTGCATTTTCCTGGTGATTAATGATGTTGAGTACCTTTTTATGTACCTGTTGGTCATTTGTGTGTCTTCTTTGTAAAAATGTCTATTCAGTTCCTCTGCCCACTTTTCAATCAGATTGTTCCTTTCTTTTTCTTTTTTTTTTTTTTTTTGTGAGGAAGATCAGCCCCGAGCTAACATCCGTGCTAATCCTCCTCTTTTTGATGAGGAAGACCGGCTCTGAGCTAACATCTATTGCCAATCCTCCTCCATTTTTTCCCCAAAGCCCCAGTAGATAGTTGTATGTCATAGTTGCACATCCTCTAGTTGCTGTATGTGGGACGCCGCCTCAGCATGGCCAGACAAGCGGTGCGTCGGTGCACGCCTGGGATCCGAACCCGGGCCACCAGTAGCAGAGCGTGCACACTTAACCACTAAGCCACGGGGCCGGCCCCAGATTGTTCCTTTCTTTTGCTATTAAGTTGTATGAGTTCATCGTACATTTGGGATATTAACCCCTTATCAGATATATGATTTGCAAGTATATTCTCCCATTCCACAGGTTGCATTTTTGTTTTGTTGATGGTTTCCTTCGCTGTACAGAAGCTTTTTAGTTCAGTGTAGTCCCACTTGTTTATCTTTGCTTTTGCTGCCTTTGACCAATGGCTAGTATTATGGCTAGAAAACTATTACTCTAGCATGCAACTTTCTTTGGTGGGTTCATGCATATCTTAACTTATCAGCAGTTCTTCCATATGTCTGAAATTAAATTCTAATTACTATAATTGTTTTATTGTGGGGGAAAAAAATCACATAACGTAAAATTTACCATCTTAAATTATACCATTTGCACCATTTTAAGTGCAGTTCAGTAGTGTTAAGTATATTCACATTGTTGTGAAACAGATCTCCAGAACTTTTTCATCTTGCAAAACTGAAACTCTATACACATTAAACAATCAGTCCCCATTACCCCCTCTCTCAGCCCCTGGAAACCACCATTGTATTTCCTGTTCCTATGAATTTGACTACTCTAAAGAGGAATCATACAGTATTTGTCTTTTTGTATCTGGTTTATTTCACTTAGTGTAATGTCCTCGAGGTTCATCTATGTTGCAGCATGTGACAAGATTTCCTTTCTTATTATTTGTCTTTAAATTTTTATTAAATATTAAATACATACAAAAGAACATAACAAGAAAACATACACCCATGTACCCACGTGAATGAATAGACCATCATTGATACCATTGAAGATCCTGGGTCCCCTTCTTCCTGCCAGATGTTAACACTATTGGGAATTTTGTGTTTATCATTCCCTTGGCTTTTTCTTTTTTGCCATATCTATGTATATCTAAATAATATACTATTTAACTTTGTATGTTTTCGAACATTGTAGATGTAATCATACTATATGCATTTTTGTGCACCGGCTTTTTTATTGAGATGAAATTCACATAACATACAATGAAGCATTTAAGTGTACAATTCAGTGGCATTTAGTGTACTCGCAATGTTGTGCAGCCACTAGCTCTCTCTACTTTCAAGACTTTTTCAACACCCCATAAAAACACCCTGTACCCATCAAATAATCATTCACCATTCTCTCCTGCTCCCAGCCCCTGGTAACCACTAATCTGCTTTCTGTTTCTATGGATTTCACTATTCTGGATATATCACATAAAAGGAATCATACATGTGATGTTTTGTGTCCAGTTTCTTTCACTTAGCATAATGTTTTTAAGGTTCTTCTGAGTTGTAACATGTATTAATACGTTGCTTATTTAATGGCTGAATAATACTCCATTGTGTGGACATACCACAATTTGTTTATCCATTCGTCCATTGATAGACATTTGGGTTGTTTCCATCTTTTGGCTATTGTGAATAATGCTGCTATAAACATCTGTGTACAAGTCTCTGTGTGGACATATGTTTTCATTTGTCTTGGATATCTAAGAATGGAATTGCTGGCTCATATGATAATTCTATGTTTAACTTTCTGAGGAACTGACAAACTGTTTTCCACAGCAACAAGGCAATGAGCTGCTGCCCATGGAACTTGCTGGCCTTATCACATATTCACCCAGCTCAGGGAGCTGCAGGAGAGCTGTGAAGGCTAGTTTTGACTCCAGTTCTAGCAAAATAATGAATTAAAAGATAACCTGAAAACTCTCCTACTACAAAAATCCAGAACTGCTGGTCAAAACAAGTATTAAATTTTTTAAAAATTGTACTTATTTTTGAATTTATAATATAGGTCTGTGGTACATAGTCCAAAAGGTATGAAAAGTAAATGAAAAGAAAGAATCCACCCCTCCCTTGTTCCCCATCTGTCCAGTCTCCTCCCCAGGGGCAACTACCATTCTTAACGTCTTGTATATCGTTCCTGAGTTAACTGGAAAATTTACAAGCATATTCATATGTATTGTTTTAATAAAAATTATTTTAAATGCAGAGCAGAGGAAGTCCCCTGATGCCAGAAATGAAAAGACAACTGAAAAACAGCATGGGGAGTTCTTCAGCTGCCTGAGGGGCTGCCCAGGAATTTAGAAATTTAATGCCTATGTGGGCAGAGGAACTTGAGCCCAGGGAAGGTAGAGAATTGAAACAGAGGACGCTACAAAACACTGAGAACCTCAAAGAGCTGAACCTTCAGCGAAAAGCTGGGCTAGAAAAAAATCCACCCTCCAGCATAGGGTGAAACAAGGAGGCTTATCTCTTTTATGTGATGGGGAAAGAGCCCCGCTCAAGAACTCAGTCTGGGCTTGCACTTTTTGTGTAGGGTTGGGTCTAAATTTATACCACCTGCATGATCCAGAAGATCAGGAGGGAAATTAACATAAATATTGCCCCTGAGATCAAATCTGGCCCTTCGTCCCCTGACACTATCCTCGCAGGTAAGGGAATCAGGCTAGGATTTTATTCAGTACCAGACTGATCTCCATACAATTTCCTCTTGCCCTTTTCCCCTAAAAGTCCTCGTAGTTCTGCTGCTGCTGCTGCCATTCCAAGACTCCCCTGCATTCAGGCCCAAAGGACTTGTGTGGACTCGGCAGGGTGTCACGTGTGGATGGCGAGCTTGCCCACACTCTCTAGCTGACTTCCATTTCTGCTTGTGTGCTACGCGTGGACAGAATCTCCTTGGAGTCATTGGTCTGATTAACATCCTCCCAGTAATGGGACCACTTTCCTTGCCTTTCTGATCCAAATCCAAAGCGGGCATCCTGGTGAATGAGAGAGGGATGTATGTGTCAGCAGGCTCAATCCTGTCCTTGTTCCACTTCCCTTCGTTTAACCTCGATTGCAACAGGCCACCTCCTGGAGCTGGGAGAACGGAGCTCACCTTCTCCAGGGAAAACAGACTCTGAACACACGGAGTGACCAGGAAGCCCAGAAAACAGAGCACCAACTAGCTGTTCCTCATGATCCTGGAGGAAGAGAGAGGGTTCCCCAGGGAGACAAGAGAAGGGCATTCCAGGCAGAGGGAGCAGTGTGTGAGAAGGCCTGAGGCAGCTGGTATGTTTGGGGTATGCCAAGAAGCCTACTGTATGAGCCTGGGAGAGAGGAGGGGAGGGGAGAAGTCAGATCATGCAAGGTCTTGAAAGCTAAACACAAAAAATTTTAAACTCTATGCTGAAGACATACAGGAGAGAAGTTTTAAGTGAAGAAAGGACAAGAATCTTTCTTAACTGGGTCACAGGTGTACAAGGCACAGAACAGAGCCATGAGCCCCAGGGATGGATACTGACCCTGGTTATCCAGGCTGTTGCCCTGGTTGTACCTGTAGAAGGTGGCACTGATCACCAGGACCTGGGGAAGAAGGGGGAGGGTGCCAACATGGGGCCGTTCCCCCAGCAGCCCACAGCCACGTCTTACTCCCTCTAGTCCCCTTACCTGGTCTTTGCTGTCTTCCATCCACTAGGGAACTAGACCATCTTCTGAAATCTAAGAGAGAATTAGAGGAGCTTCAGCAGCCCCTGAGACTTGGGAAGGTCCTGCAGGTGCCCCCAGTAAGCCAGCAGAGGGTCTCCCTGGAGCGCCCCCTGTCTTCCACTGCAGTGACCTCCCCTCACCCCCATACTAAGAATGTCTGTGTTCCCAGACCATCACCTCCTCACTCAGAGCATCTGAAGTCCATGCCAGACCAGAAAGCTTCAGGACCAGCAGCACCAGCTGTCTCCAGGAACCCTGGTCCCCATTGTTCCTGCGGTAGATGAAGCGTCCCATGGTTTGGTTCCCCACTGTCTCGAAGCCCTGAGCTGGGGTCTGGTACATCCTGGGAAGGAGAGTAGAAACTGACAGAACTCTGGTGGCAGGTCTGACCTTCCTGCTCCCTGCCCTCTCCTCAGGACCCACCTGAAGACTGTGGTGTGTTGGTTGACGTTGTTGTGGAGGCTGGAGGCCCGCAGGATCTTCAAGTTCTCCATTAACACACAAGTCCCACAGTAGAGATCAAAATGGCTCACTGAAGGTCTGGGAATCACCTTGAACAGCTTCTTCCACACTTTGTCCAGTTCACTTGCTGAGTTCGTGCCCTGGAAATAGTAAGAGGGAAGAGATTAGGGGCTGGGACCCAGGTATCAGCTCCCAGTGGAAGGAACGCAGACCTAGGTGGGTGAGACTTCCATCTGGAGGTCAGGGGTTGAGGCTGTGAAGATGGGAAGTGCATTAAGCCAGGGCTGAGGGCAGGGGTTTGGGCAGGAGATGGGGTAGGCCTGGGAAGGACAAGGGATGGGACTGGGCTCAGTGTTGACAACTGACCAACCATGGGAACACAGCATTGGGGGTCATGGACTCTGTTGCCCCCATCAGGTACCCCATGGTCTTCTCATAGAATGCGTCAAACCAGTTCTGTTCTCTGACTGTGTGGTGGCAGAGGGAGTAGTTGAGGGTCCCAGATGGGCAGCCACATTTCCTGGATTTGAACCAAGAGCAGTTGCAATGCCATGGTACCAAGTATATCAGTTTTTCCTGGGGTGCTGATTCAGGTTTCTGATCCAGGCAGGAGGCCATTAGCCATAAGATGAGCACCCAAAAGACCCACAGGACAGAAATCTGCCACAAGTGCTTCATGTCCAGGTGTGGCAGGCAGCAGACTGGCTTCTCTACTCGGGACTGGGAAGAAAGAGGAATGAGGCCACACATAGCCCCACAACTCTCTGTCCTGTTGGCCGCCATGGCTCCCCAACCCTCCACACCAAACCTCCTCCCAACCCCTCATCTCCTGCCTCCCTATCCATTTGCTCACCTCCAAAGAAGACTCTGGCTGAGCCTGCAATGGAAGGTGCAAGGGCAGAGAGATAACATATGGTGTGTTCCATATCCTTCCTGCAGGAGGAAGGCTTAGCTCTCAGTGGGGTCTTCTGTGCCACCCAGTTATATCATAGATGTCATCACAAAGTACACATTGTGACCTCCCTCCTTTAGCTTGCCTGGGCAAAGCCACCAGCCTGTCCTGCCTGTAATACACAAGCTGCCTACACTGAATGTTAGATCCACGAGCACAGAGACCAACCTGTCTGTCTTCTTTACCTCTGCATCCCTAAGACTTAGAATCTTAGGGATGAGCAGAGTTGAGGGGGAACTTTACTATCTGCGTGTGATGCTCCCTCTCCAATTGTGTAACTTCGGCTCAGACCTCTCTTCTGTTTCCTAACACCCGATATCCAACAGCCTATTGGACTTCGACTTAGACGTCTCAGAGACCTGCCACACTGAACAAGCCTGAGACTGACCTCATGATTTTCCCTTTAAACAAATCCCTTCCCCAGACATCTCTATCTTAATAAATGGTCCCGGGCCATCCAGGTGGCGCAAGCGGTTAAGTGCACGCTATGCTGTGGCGGCCCGGGGTTCGCTGGTTCAGATCCCGGGCAGGCACCGACGCACTGCTTGTCAAGCCATGCTGTGGCGGCGTCCCACATAAAGCGGAGGAAGATGGCACAGATGTTAGCCCAGGGCCAGTCTTCCTCAGCAAAAAAAGAGGAGGATTGGCAGATGTTAGCACAGGGCTGGTCTCCTCACAAAAAATAAATAAATAAATAAATAAATAAATAAATAAATAAATAAATAAATAAATAAATAAATAAATAAAAATGGTCCCACCATTCACCCAGTTGCTGAAGCCAGAAACCCACATGCTATCCTTGATTTCTCCCTCTCCTATGATCCAAATCCATTTTTAAATCCATTTGCTTCTATTTCCAAACCATCTTCTTCTCTTCATCTCTACTGCCACTCGCTTAATTCAATCCTAGCCTGTGAAAGATATCAAGAAACAAAGTGAAAAACTTTGAATTGTTTTTAAGATTTTAGAAAAGAAAAAGGGTCAGAAATCATTTTATTCTTTTAAAAAATCAAAATGTTTACTTCCAAGGGATCAGAACAGTAAAACAGTTCATCTTAACTAGTGGAAATCTGCACCAAGTATTTTACAGCTTTTAAAACAATTCACCAAAAAAAATTGAGTAAGGTCTGTAGTCTAGTTAATTATACTGTGGCAGTGCCACTTTCCTGGATTTGAAGTGGCCCCTTATTGTGGTTTTAATTTGCATTTCCCTAATAAATAAAGATGCCGAGCATCTTTTCATGGGCTTATTAGCTAGTCATCCGTATATCTTCTTTAGTGAAACATCTATTCAAATCTTTTGCACATTTTTAAATTGGGTTGTTCAACTTATTATTGAGTTTTAAGAGTTCCTTATATATTTTGGATATAAGTCCTTTATCATATATGATTTGCAAATGTTTTCTCCCAGTCTGTGACTTGTATTTACATATTCTTAATGGTGTCTTTTGAAGCACAAAATCTTTAATCTTGATGAAGTCCAACTTATTTTATGGATTATGCTTTTGTATCTAAGAATGATTTGCCTAACCCAAGATCACGAAAGGTTAGGGGTCACCTTTGTTGAACACAGTTTAGTGGTCAGCCAATGACTGGTCATAGGTTACACTTAATTAAACATCTTGAGCCAATAAGGCTTTTGCCCTTTGCCAATAGACTCTGTGGTTTGAGGAACACATTGAAAATTCAGGCAGTTTACAAGTTTGCTCACTTTTCGCTTTCTGCATGCTGGGGGCTCATATTCAGCCAGGGATAACTAGATACCTAGGACCCTCTCCAATCTCTCCTGAGCACGTGTACAGGCTTGTGAAAGTGGGCAGCCTTCCAGACCACCAGGGACATGTGACAGCTTATGAAGGCCCACTATGGCTATTTTGTTCCCGGATCTCTGTGAAACTTTTAGTTGGCTTGCCAGTCTGTTGCTTGCCCCAACTAGTATCATGACCTCAGTCTAGCTGCAATGTTGGTTTTCCTTGATTATTTGCCACTAGATTGCTATTGTTTTCAGCAATGTCCATGAGCAAGGTTGTTTTTGTTTTTTTGCTGAGGAAGATTGGCCCTGGGCTAACATCTGTGCCCCTCTTCCTCTACTTTATATGGGACACTGCCACAGCAAGGCTTGACAAGTGGTGCACTGGTGCGCACCCGGGATCCGAACCTGCGAACCCCGGGCCGCCGAAGCGGAGTGCACACTTAACTGCTTGTGACACTGGGCCGGCCCCCTAGAAATTCTTTGTTTGTTTTTTTGTGAGGAAGATCAGCCCTGAGCTAATGTCCAATGTCAATCCTCCTCCTTTTTTTTTTTGCTGAGGAAGATTGGCCCTGAGCTAACATCCGTGCCCATCTTCCTCTACTTTATATGGGACGCCGCCACAGCATGGGTTGACAAGCAGTACATTGGTGCGCACCTGGGATCCAAACCTGTGAACCCCAGGCCGCCAAAGCAGAGTGCACGCACTTAACTGCTTGCACCACTGGGCTGGCCCCTAGAAATTCTTTTAAATTTATTTTCAAGTCTTCCTGGTTTGCTACCATCTTTACATTTTTATTGTTTCTTAAATGTCGTTAATCATTCTGAACATACTTATTTATAGTTTTTATCTGAAAGTTCCATTATTTCAAGTTCGTGCGAGTCTAATTACGTTGAAGATGGTGTCTAAGGACTGTTGCTCAAGATGAATTGTGTCCTCATGTGTTTTACAAAATTAGATCAGGTGCTCACTTTTAGCAGGGTTTTATCCTTGAGAATGCTATGTGGCTTCCATTGAGTTGTGTTCCCTCAGAGAAGTTTCACGTTTGCTTCTGCCAGGCAGCCTCAATTTTATGGTAATTTCTCCACTTTGGAGCTTCCAGACTAAGCAGAGAATATAAATCCAAACCCCAAACTTGTGTGAGGACAGGCCTGGGATTATGATGTCTTGGCAATGTTTTATTTTTATGTTGTTGTCTTCTCACCCAGGACACAAGTTGAGACAATCTCAAGCATTCTCTTTCTCTTCCTGTACAAGTGGTAATTTTTTTTCTAGTCTACCCTTTTCCTACAGGTCTAGCTCTGTTAAAATCCCATCCTTTTCTTGAGGCCTCAAGGTATCATTTCCTCTCCTTATATAAGTATTAATATCCAATACCCAAAGAAGACACCCCCATCTATTTTGACAGTGATTATTAGGCAAGTACAATATGATTATGGGGGAGTGCTGGCTACGCTGATTTAAAAATACTTTGTGAAATCATTTTCTTCCCATCTATTTGATTCCAATAAAAAAGTCACTTCCTTCCAAAAGCCTTCCTAAACTAATGTAGCATCTTACCAAATTACAGCTCCTAACACATATTACTCTCCAATGTACAAGACTATTTACATGCAAGTGCTTTGTAAACTGTAAATGTTTATATTGATATGAATTATTATTATATGCTAAAAAAAAGAAAGAAAACCCAAGCCTGTAGATTACTGACACGCCAGCTCCATTAGCCATCACTCCCTGTCCCATCCCCAGAGCCACAAAATCAGCTCACAAGTTTACTGCTTTTTTCAACTTCTTCACTTTTAGCCCCTAGGAATTTCTCTCACTTTTTCATGAGTCAGCTATATGTTCAAAGGGATACTTGTTATTCAGTGTTTCAAGATGGTTTACAGCAGGAAGGTTTCCAGGACTAAGTCTGCATATTGCTGGAACTAGAACATTTATAATTAATTTTCTCATCGGTCACTGTATTATGACTTATGTAATCATTTAAATAATGTTTTACAAATATTGAAAGAAAGTTCTTCCTTACATGGATTGCACCACAGTGCAAATAAAAAGTATTTTCCTGAGACTCTTAGCACAGTGCTTCTCAGACATGAGTATGCATCAGAATCACCTGGAAGGCTTAATAAAAATACAGAATGCTGAGCCTCATTCCCAGAGTTTCTAACTCTAAGGCCCTGGGGTGGGGCCTGAGAATTTGCATTTCTAACAAGTTCCCAGGCGATGCCAATGTTGCTGGTCCAGGGACCACACTTTGAGAACCACTGCCTTAGCTTAACATATCCAGCCAGCAAACAATTTTACGGAGAAAAACTGATTACTTTACTAAAATGGAGGGTCATATTCTAACTCTATTTTGCTTTCTAAAGAGGGGCTTATAATGTTTTCCTTCCACAGCCTGCAATAGCTTCCTAATTGGTATCTTTGCTTCTGTTCTATCCATCCCTCATCCATTCTTCACTCAGCAACTGACATGATCTTAAATTTACTTCCTGCTTGAATCCTTAAAATGACATCCTATTGCACTCAGAATAAAATCCAAAATCCTCACTCCTCTCACACAGTTTCTAGCCATTCTGGCTTTTTCCTGTTCCTAGAACTTTCCAAGTTCCATCTTCCCCAGGACCTTTGCACTTGCAGTTCCTCTTCCTGGAACACATTACTCGCTCCCACTCCTACCCTCAGCACTTCACTTCCCTGGTTCCTTCCCTTTCTTCAAGTTGCATGTTAAATGTCACTCATCTTAGGGTTCCTTCCCTGAACCCTGTATTATTGAAGTCCCTAAGAAGCTCTTCTAATTGGGCCCTGACACCCTCTGACACGGCAGTTATGATTCTTCCTTCTCAGGGGAAGCAATAGGATTTCTACACGGTGACTATTGTTTTCAATACAGATGCACTGAGGTCTCTGTATTTCTCTCAAAAGAAAAACTGTCCATCTGCACTGGAGGAGGAGAACATGTAACATCTGCAAATATAT